CATATGGTATCTTCTCATCTGAGTGAGGCAAACTACAAACAAAAAATGTTGGATGATAGAAAAGGTCAAGAAAATGGATCTCCCGCAATAAGAATGGGACCCAAAGGGAACACGTGTGCAAGCTGTGGATGAGAGAATGGGGAAATAAGAACAAAGATGTGCCACGTACAGGAGCCTTGTGACACCAGTTAATGTACACCTGCACGCTATGACATGAGCGAAGGCAAAGAACACCAACAGGTCCGAGAAAAGGAAGCCAGGTGTGGTGGTGCATGCTTGCAATCCCAGCCCTTGGGAGACTGAAACGTAAGGATTGCCATGAGTTCAAGGCCAACATGAACTGCATAGAGAGACCTGTCTCCCTGCAAAAATAAAAAATAAACTGGGGAACCTCGGGGATCTGGTGTGGGAGGGGAAGAAAGGCAGAATGGAACTAAACAAGCTGCAATACTTACACTGAAACAGTCCCAAGGTGACTGTAAACAGCATGAACATGTACTAAGCAAAAACAAATGGAAATATTTTTAAAACTATGACATAAACGTGAGCTAAGATTAATAAAGTCAACAAAAGGTGGAAAAGGGAAATAGAACTTAGAGAAGAAGGAAGGGAATTTGGTAGGCAACAACCTCCCCAGATGACATTAAACTGAATGCAACACTACAATAACAATAAAAATAAAATAATAACAATAAAAACATGCAGTTACAAACACACATAAGATACCCTTTGTAACTCCAGGGACCCTAAGTAGTTTGTTGGGTCAGTGTTGTAAAACTGGCTGATTCTACATATTTATAAGAGAAAATAATTCAAAATTCATATTAGCAAAAGCAAACAGTTTCTTCCCATCCTAAGTACTCTTTAGAGGTAAAGGCAAAAAAATGGGGGGAGGGTGAAAATTACCATAAGTAAAATAATGTGCAATTTTCTGAGTGATAAATGATATAATAATTGTAGTTCAATTAGACTCATAAAATATTATAATATAGTATAGTAATTGTATGCTTTCAAATCTAAACATTTGCAGAGAAGAGTTACTTTTCCAAAAAGGGAGCACTTTAATTTGAACAAATAAGAAAAATATATCAAATGTAAAATTTCTTATATCTCAAATATCAGAGATTTTCCAGTTCCTGACCAGTTTGTCCAAATTTCTAAAGTCATTTAGTAATGCCTTCAGTCTAATATATACAGTCTGTATGTAACTAAATGAAGTTTTCTTAAGAAATATTTTATTGCAGTTTCACCTATTGCATTGTTAATACTATTCTATGTATTTAAGCCAAACCTAGATGAATCCATTCACCAGATAATTAATCTTCTTTTTTTTTAATTTTTGGAGGTAGAAAAACATTACTAGTGTTCTCTGTCTAAGTCAAAGTTGGTGTGTTAAGACAGTCATATTCTGGGCTGGGGAGATAGTTCAGTAGAATAAGTGCCTGCCTGGCAAGTGCAGGGTCCTGAGTTCAATTCCTGGTACTGAAAAAAAAAAGAGAGAGAGAGAGAGTCATATTCTATTTTAGCTTGGAAAGAACAAGATAAGAGACTGCACAGATTTGTGAGGAAATTAATCTGAAAAATCAAGAAGAAAGAGTCATGGTAGTCTTCTCTTATGCTGCTGTGGAACCCAAACCTTGGAAAACAGTATCAACACTAAGAATGTAATTACTATCTGGGTGTCCTGCTATATGCCTGTAATCCTAGCACTCAGGGAGGCTGAGGCAGGAGAATCACAAAAGTAATTTCAGTCTGTGCAACCTAAGGGCCTAAGGAGACTCTGTCTCAAGGTAAAACTAATATTTTTTAAAAAAACAGTTGGGGTTGTAACTCAGTGAAAATCCTGGGCTGAATCTCTAGAACTGTTATAATAGAAAGTAATAACAATAGCAATAGAAATAAGAAAAATGTATGTAATTGTTACCTTCTAGTAATGCCAGGAATTATTAGTAGCTCTAGAAACATGTTCACTTGCTCTTTTCCACTGCTGCTGTAGTAGCAATAGTTATTTCCACTGAATATTTACAGAAAATGAAGTTGCAAGGGGTCAAGATGTCCATATAAAGTCGCACAGCTAATAAGTGTCTGAGCCTGGCCTTGTGGACGGGGCCTCGTGAATGCTCTGTCCAGTATGGGACGCGTTAGTCTGCCCTTGAGCTGCAGATGAGTTCTGTGAAACCTGAGTTACTGACAGCATCATTGCTGTGAAACTGTGAGAGACGACCAAGCCCTGGACATCAATTTCTGGAAGTGGTACACAGCAAGAAAGTCGTAGTGATGTCATCAGAAAACAATAATTTTCTTTAAAGGGACGGTGACCTGAAAATACAATTCATAACACAACTCACTGGAAAGGGATGGAAGCTCCAGACGTCGATCTTCTTTGTCTTTGCACATTTTTAATTTCATGTAGAGGGCGAAATATTAAAGTTTGTATGAAGCACAATCAAACAACTATAAAACACTCGCTCACTTTCTTTTATATTTGATTTACAAAATGCATACTGCAGTAAGACGTAAGCCTCGCGGAATGATTCGCAGCAGCGCTGTGGCCTGGGAGAGCTGCTGAGCCCGCGAGTTGGCTAACACTATGGCCGAGCTCTCCCGTGAATGCTGCTCCAGGGCCGAAGCTCAGTGTGCGAAGCTGGAACTCTCTCGTCCCTTCTGAGCTCTCAAAATAATGGTTTAGCTAAGTCACTTCCTGAAAACCAACCTTTTCACCATTGGCTCTTTAAACTATGCCTAAATAATAGAACCTCTGGCCAGTACTATGAGAATGGTCTTCTTCCAACCCGACTTACATATTTCCTGTTCATCCTTCGGAAAGATGCCTGCACCTCTCGGGCCCATCGTGTCCTAACGTGAGGAGTACAGCAAATACCTTATCCTCTCATAGGAGAGAAGGAATGTCGCATGGTCAGTTTATGATTCCTACATGGTATAGATTCCAAAGGGCTCATTATGAAGAGAAGTAGCAAGTTAATTGATATTATCATCTTATTTTTCAAAGCATTGACACACAAGGGTGAAGTTTATGCTTCGTAATTATCCTTATTAATAAAACTAAATTCAGCATTACTCTTCAACACCAGAGGGACTTCGCTATGGAAATATTCTTTGAAAACTGGGAAAGAACTGTGAAAATGCAATTAGAAAAAATATGGTGTCTCCCCGGTCTTCACCTCCCACTGCTGACTCTGTTCTGCCATCCGCAGCTTTGTGAATGAGCTGCTTGTGCCCCTGGCTTCTGGGCTTCGTACTGCAGTCCCCTCCAGCTGCCTCCCATATATGTACCAGTCGTGTGTCCACCCACATTTCATTCAGCTGCTTTTCCTCAATCCCATGTCTCTTTTCCAGTGACAGCCACTGGTACAATGGACTCTGTGTCCCAAAGTCAGCAAGTCCTGATAAAACTTCCTCGCCATTGTTCTTTCGCTCGCTCTATAAATATCCCCCACACACCTGTTATTTTTCTAGGCATGCAAAGTGATATCACCAGCGAGTGATATCTGTGCCCTCTGGGAGTGTCTATTTAGCTGGTAACCAGACGCGCACACACACCCATGCACACGCACAAGCACACGCACACAGACTCCTCAGCCAACAATAAACAAGATAAGCTGAAAGAAGATGGATACAATGGATACCAATGAGGGATGACCATGTTAGATCCATTTGGGAACTGCACAAGGGCCAGAGTGCCTGGACAGTGCCCCAGTGTCCAGCAGGATAAGGGGAGAGGAAGTTGCAGAGGTTTTCAGGGCCTTTTCTTGTAAAGTAAATGAAATTTATTTTAAGACTTTAGAAAGGCAGAGAAATGTTTAAATTATGGGGTCAAGTGCATGGAGTTCTTCATTTAAAATGTTCCGCTGTCTGCTTTGTGGACAAGGAGCAGGCCAGGGTGGGAACAGCCAAGAGCATAGGCAGGCTTCCAGGTCAGAGGTAACCACAGTCCAGCTGGGCTAAAGGCAGGTAGGGTGGAGGCAGAGCAGCTTTTCCTCATGTCCATGCCGGATTTCTTGAGTTGTTCTGCCCTCATTGTTGTTTATTGTTGTTCTTGAGTTGTTCTGCACTCATTTCTTGAGTTGTTCTGCCCCTTTTGACCGCCACAGAGACCTTCCAGAGTGTCCTAGCTTTATGTGCATCTAATCTGTCATCCATATTGCCTGCCTGGTGGAATTTGCATATCTGTCACTCAGATGCAAAATGCCTGAGTTCGACTCCACCATCCAGCAGAAGTTCTCACAAATGGGGCGATGATGTGGTACAGTCCCCCAGGGTCACTCAAACACTCCTTACCAGGCTCCCTTGATAAGCAGATCCATCCATACTGTGCCGGACAATGAATGTGTCCTTTTACATATTTGTGCTGTCTCATCTTCCCCATCATCTCTGTAGCCTTGGAATGTAACTTAGCTGAAGATGAGCTGCGTGCAGAACCACTGCAATAGGCCTGCCCTCCCCCTGCACTCAGTACCTGACCATCCTTTATTATTTTTTCCCTCAATCTGGCCTCGTTAGGGAGGAGGCCTATAGGGAGCTAAGTGATTACAAGACAACAATCTTGTCTATGGGCTATTTGTGCTCCTTTTGGATTATTTCAGCTTTTGAAATGCAATTGTAGATCTATGTGAGTATAAGGTAGATATTTCGGCACAGGTTGAGGGAAAATGAACAATGTCCAGAAAGGTACCAAGATTCAATCTACATCCTCCAGTAGCTAGCACGGGCTCTGCCAGATATGATTTTGAAGGAAGAATGTGCCGATGATTGCATGAATGAATGATGAATATAAATAATATCCATTATCTAAGGACAAGAGGAAGAAAATAATATTCCTTTTTAAAGATTGTTTTGCTATCACAAAGCAGTGATTATTTTAGAGCAAAATAAGGCAAGGCCATTTAAAGTAAGACTGCTTTTAAAGCAATATGTTTCAAATGAAAAAAGACTCCACTAGTCAGGAAAGACACTTTATTTTCAAGCTTCTAAGATGGTTCTACAAACAATAGAGCCTTAAAGGAAAAGAGAAAAGATAGAAAAGAAAGCAAAAACCAGGTATCTTTAACTATTGAAAAGTAGACAGCCTTTAAAAAAATTTTGACATAAAAACGTGAAAATGTAGTTGTCACTCTATTCCAAATACATTCCTAGAAAAAAGGACCATTCATGGTGGTAGGGTTACTTACAGCTGAAGACTTAAGTACTATTCATATTCCTTTTGAGCTATTTCTTCATTTCAAATTCATTCAGAGTTCTGTGCAAATCTAGCAAAATATTCTTTGGATTACAAAAACTATATAAAAATGAACACAGCCTACAATTATGGAAGATTTGAGAATATGTAATCCTTCCCTGCAATGAAAGATCCTAAAGTGACACTGTCCACAGAACTGATTCCATTGAAGTGTTCTGCCAATTTGATGTAAATGCAAAGTAAAATGGAAGGGAACACTTCATACCAACATGTTTCTTTGTATGCACTTTGACTATATCATAAAAATAGTATATAACAGGGTAACAAGAAATGCTTGAAGCAAACTTTCACCACAAAGCCAAGAAAAAAAAGAAACTAATCTAAAAATTGTCCGTAATCCAAGAAAAAGCATGTGCCCTGTGTTTAGGGGGAAAGAGGGAAAGTGCGTGCAGCATGATTTTCTGTGATCTTTCCCCAAGTATTGCTACGTTTTGACCTTTGGCCCAACTGTACGAGTGAAGTCTCCTTTACACTGTCCCAGTCCATAGCAAGCAGACTGGACTGCGGATGACCCTGCCGTATTCGCAAGTCCAATGGCATTATTTCTCTCTGTCCAATAGCATCCCTGCACTCACTAGGAGCTCACAGCTCAAATTATCTTCTAAAACAAAGGATTTCAAGTGAAGCTCTCTTTCTCTTATCAAAACTTAAAATGCCACATCATTTTAAGTAAAAATAACAGGAGGGAAAATATGCACTTTCAGCTGTTGGAGTCCTACGATAGCCTGGTAAGAGCAATATAAAGAAAAAAGAGTAACAGTGGAATCTGGGGGAAAATCAAACTTCTGGCTTGTTACTCTTCCTTCCACCTCCCACAAGTGCTAGGTGGAGCACAAAATCTAGGCCTTGAACATTAAGATTCTGATAGTTTCCATTTCCTCATGGATTCATCTCTCATAGCCATGAGATTACTGATATACAAGATCAATGCATATTATATAACACATATTGCAAAGTAATAGACTGATCTATATGTTTAACATCCTTCATCTCGAGAAGAGATGTGCAAACCCAAGCCAGGAGGCTAACACCAAGAATTTACAAAACATGTTTTACATGATGTTACACAGTCTTGTCTAAAAAAAAAAAAAAAAGAAAGAAAAAGAAAACATTTGTCAAATATATTTGATTTTAAATAAGCAACCAAAGTAGCAGACAGGCTATTAACAGATCATAAATAGGATCATTAAAGATCACAATTAAATTAGAAATATAAATTGGATCATTATAAATCCTTCATTTTTTCAATGTTAAGAATCAAACCCAGAATTAAAAAAGAATCTTTTTTTATTTCAAAGATTGCTTCTTATATTGAAGCTCATATTAAAGCAACAGTACAATGTTCATAAAATATAAGTGTGATGCCGTAACATTTTCTTACATGTCAGAATACTGATATTTGTATGTATACTAAAATAAGAACTTTAAAATTGTACAAATAGATACATTAAAAATGACATAGAAATAGGGCGCTTCTCACTGAAACAAGACAGTTATATCTGGCACGTATTAGTTTAAGATGAAAGTAGAAGCAAAAAGATTTACAAGAATCAGCAGTAACAAGATTGATGCTCAAGAGACATAATTGTACATTGTATTGTACATACATTGTATGGGTTTAAGCTGGTTGAATAGTATATATTTCAAGTTTAAAAATGCACTACATATAGAGTGTCCATAGTTTAAGGCGAAATTACAGCTCAAAACTGTTGTCCTTTCTAATTTTGTGGAAGCTTTTTTGACAAATTAAAAAAAAAAAGAAGAAAGACTTAGATGTTCATAACACATAAACAATTTCCCTTCATTGTGAGTTCACCGTTAGAATTCTCCTTCACTTAAATATTTTGTATGCCAAGTGGTTTTTCTCTAGTGAAGTTGACAAACAACTTCAATATTAGCCTTTTTGTGGGAAAAGGTATTTCACAGTATTTACCACTTTGATGTCCTTGCAGTTTCATTAAATGCATCCTTTCTGTAAAACTTTGCTTGTTTTAAATGAGCCTTTCCTTGATTTAAAAAAATACCTGTTTACACATCTTCTAGATTCTTGAGAACGCCAGACACAGTTCTTTAAGGCCAAATTTGTGTCTTTATTGTTAAGAATCATCATCAAAAGTGTCTTTGGAACCGTACAAGTCTGCTAATTTCTTAAAACGAGGTCCCCAGTTCTGTAGATAATCATAATCCAAGTCTGAGTCTGTGGTGGCAGACTCCAAGGAGCTCAGAGACCCCGCCACTGAGCCCCTGCCCTCATAGCCGTAGATTTGGATGGAGTCATAGGGCGGGGCGGTGGGGTCATTATCTGCCTCCTGTATCCTAGTGTTGATGAAGTCGTCCACATCCACGCTGTTGGGTGCTGGCCTGAGCCCAGGTCTCGGCATGTACTGGTACTCAGGCTTGATGTCTTTGCGGGGAATAAATCCATTGATACCATCAGGATTCTGGAGGGTGGCAATATCAAAGGCTTCGGTGTCTTCCTCGCCACCCCCTTCATCATCATAGGTAATGATGTTCTCACGGACATCTTCTTCCTCAAAAACAATGAGTGGCTCCTTCTTTTGCCTTCTCAAGGTCACAAACAAAACCACAATGACTACAAGAAAAGAAAAAGAAAATAAGAATAGGTGAATCCCAGTCTCCTCCCTGCATTCTTTTCCCAAGTGAGCTCAGCTTCTGTAAACCATTAAGCGTGCAAATGCTTCAGAAACCAGGGGCATCAGAGGAGATGAGAGCATTGGCTAGTGTCCCCAGACACAGGAGAACTGGCCTGCACTGTCTCTCTTGGTGTGAAGTGCTGCTGTGTAAACACTATATGCAGTAACTCGGCAGGTTGGAACTATTCTAAACTTTTCCCAAATGAATCCCAAGGCTTTTTGGAAGTCATTTTTCTAAGAAATAGGAGGATTCTAAAGGTGTCAGGCTAAAGATTCTTAAAAGGGCCTAATGCCTCTGCAAAGGAAGCTGGCTGCCTTTCTCATATTTGACAATAAGGAACTTCAGAGAACTCAGGACCTACCTTCTTAGAGGATTGAAAACTATGTCCTTGCCAGAGAGCTGAGCAGAGGGATGAACCCTGCTCTATAATAGTAAGAAACCTTAGCATTCATATGGGTAGAGAATATATCTACAAAAGACCCTGGAACAATAATTTTTTATTTATTTAAAACTGAACACCTACACAAAGACGCAATCCAGCATCTTTTATGGCTGAGGGTGGATAACTTAAGAGGAACAAGCAAAGTAGCTTATAAGGAGAGATCAGACACTGCCTAATTCTGAATCAATTCCCTCCATTCCTCCTCAAACCCTACCAAGAAGATTTCCTCACACACGCAGTAAGATGGAAGGAAGTGTTATGGCTGCCTTTGGAAAGGGGACCAAAAATCCCTGGCTCCACACCACTATGAGATGCAGGGATGAGGGACAGCACTTGCTCTGGTTTTCATGGGGTTCCAGAGCTCTGTGCTTTGTTCCTGACAGCATCTTTGGCTCCTATACCCATCATTCCTGTCCACCTTCTTTACTTGGATGACTTATTAAAGAAAAATCTTTCTTTATGGAAATATTTCCTAACTTTCTCGCTTGATGCCAGACAGGTTAGGAGCCCCTATAGGTACCCTCTTCATAACATCCATTATGCAGTTTACACATTTGTCAATGCCAGTGTGCATTCTTCAAGCCTCATCCTGTGTTCACTTTACTTGACACACCCACCAAGCACAGCTCCTGTCACCAGCTAGGAAATCCTGCCTGTCTCTGACATAATTTTTATATCTTCCAAGAAGTCTATGAACCTCCACAGGCAGCATTATGCATTTTTTTTCTTCTGTGCAGCCACCCTCCTTTGATTATGTCATTATAGCACTTACCAGGTAAGTTATCTGTTCTGTTGTCTGTTCCTGCATACCTTCCTTAATAGACTGTGGCCTCATATGGCATAGGAATCTTGTGTAAGACTTTTTTTTAATGTCTTAGGCTTAACATAGGATCTAGTCCTCAGGTAATACTCAACGGCCAATTTTTGAACTGAGTTCAATGGCTCCTTCCAAAGGACTCAGAGAATTAAACATCTTAGTAAAAACGTAGTTGGTGGCAATCATGTTGGAGTTTGAATAGTAATTTTGCCAATCACTATTCTAAGAAGCAGAACAAATGATTGAATCTTCCTAAGATCCACCAGAGAGAATTTCTCAGCATCGACATCTGGCTTCTATAGAGAGTAGATCCATGGATGGACTGAAGTGTAGAAGAGTGGAACTTAACTCAGCTGGCAAGCATGGGAAAATGCCCCAGGGATCTGCACAAACTGAGGCTTGCATACGGAAACTGTAGATGCAAGTGACAGGGAAAGTCAAGGCCTAGTATCACTCAGCTAACCTTCATCCAGTTCCTTCAGTCTTGCCCAAACTATCTTTAGTGTTGAGATTATTCTTTCTGCAGCTTGCTAATCCTTCTTCCTTCCTTTATGAAGTAGAACATTTCCCCATAAACCAGGTCTCTGCTTAAATTCCTCATCTGCAAACTATTTCTTGGATGCATTTCTAGCCCCCAGATGGCATCTTCTAATGTGTACTTTGTGATGTCTGGCAAAATGTTCATCGCAACCTTTCCTTCCCTGCACTTACATGCTTGTTAAATTGCATGCTATGCCTGCTGTGCTTCAGAACTCATGGGAGCAGGAAACCCTTACTTTTGTTTATTTCAAACCATGTTCATAGTGCAGAGCATGATCTTGGTAACCAAGGACACATATCTGGTTGTACCAGGTGACAAGAGAGATCCATTACCCAGGAGAATGACGATGCAGGCAAGGATGGCGATGAGTGCGCCCGTGCTCAGGCCGGCATTCAGGATATACGCCTCAGCATTGCAGGACAGCAGCACACCATTCACGTCGCACCCGCAGACTTTGATGGTGAGGGTGTTGGTGCTACTCATGGGTGGAATGCCACCATCACTGATCACTATGGGGAGGAGGTATAAGTCCTGCTTCTGCCGACTGAACCCTCCACGCCGGGCATAGACTCCTGCTGTGTTATCTGTTGGAACAGGAGGGACAAGGTGTGCTTGCAGATCAAGACCTTTCCAGTAACAGTTGCATTCAGCTTGCCAAATTTGAGGGCATGCTTTTCATCACAAAGGTTAACAACCACAATTCTTCCCACTTGTTCTTCAATCTAAGTATCTATAGAGGCAATAATCACATGGCATGATGGCATCATGTAACAATCTCTCTGTATTTTGAAACAAAACTCAGAAATTGCTCTTTTGCAGTCGATCTGTACTGAATGTCTTCCCTGGTAAGTTAAATACAACATATTCTGCTTCGATGTTCACCCCCTTCATGGGAAGACACAGAATCCCATGAACCTCAGCTATGTACTCTGTATAATCATACCATACAATTAAGTATTGAAAAGAGGAGAACAATCCAAACATCTATACAGCATGCATATGCTTCTTCCTGCCTCACTGCAAGAATTTTGTGTTATTTGTGACTTCTTAAGAGAAATTCCAAACTCCACCTTCAATTTTACCAAAACAGATGACCCAGGTATGAATCAGGTTCAAAGGAAAACTTCTTCTTTAAAGAGGAAACATGATATAACCCTTGCAGCACTTTTTTTTTTT